CTTTTACTTATGATACCCACCCCTCATGTGATGTCCCTCGGGCCCTTGAGGTACCAATAAATAAATAAATAAATAAATAAATAAATAAATAAATAAATAAATAAATAAATAAATAAATAAATAAATTTTACAAAGTCACATCCATGACAGAAATACGTCAACGGAGCCGTGGAAGGCCCGGGTATAAAACACTTTCGTGTTAAAAAAGTCACAGCTTTGCCACAATGGCAAAGCAGCGAATGCGATAGCAACGAATCGGAATGTGATGCCCTTCAGGAAAGATGACATCCTCGAATTCACCGTGCAAGCTACACGCAAGCAGAATGGCAAGCAGATCGGAACTCTCCGCGCGTTGCTCACGCACAAATGAATAATTATTGGGCTTTAACGTCCCATAACCATGATGTAATTATGAGAGACGTCGTAGTGGAAGGCTCCAGAAATTTCTACCACCTGGAGCTGGTTAACGTGCACCCAAATCTAAGCAGACGGGACACAAGCATTTCGGCCTCAATCGAAAACACAGACTCTGCTGTCGGGATTCCATCGTGCCACCTGCGGGTCTGCATTCGAGCTCCGTAACCACAAGACCACCGTGACGGGTAAAGTGGTTATATAGCTCGACGAAAATAGCGTATTCCAATAGCATATCGATTGCATACGACAAAATGTAATAAAGTAATTGATTGATTTATATGTGGGGTTTAACGCCCCAAACCACCATATTATTATGAGAGACGCCGTAGTGGAGGGCTCCGGAAATTTCGACCACCTGGGGTTCTTTAATGTGCACCCAAATCTTAGCACACAACCCTACATCATTTTCGCCTCTATCGAATAAAATAACACGACTCACTTTTTCGTCAAAAGTGGTTATAGCTCGATGAAAAGGTCAGTGACTTTATTTCATAACTTTGATATGCTGTTGTTTTGAGTTCGAGGCGAGCGAGAGAGCGTGGCTCAACACAGGACTTTCCTGTAATAAAATGCGTCTATTTCGCAGGTATCCTGACGCGCCTGCTCTCTGAGTGTATACCAATCTGGGCACCGAGGAGGCCAAGTACACCCGTTTTGCGTTTTACTGGTCTCATGAAGTTCATGAAAATGTTTCGTTGAATTGTTTCCAATCAACACTCTGACATGTGCTTATTTTGTCATACACTTGGGAAATCATTCTGTGATGATCGTGAAATACCTTGAAAAAAAAATGAACAACAATATAGAACGTGAAATAAAATGAAACATTTCACATGTATTCAAACAGAAGTTAGAGCTCACAGTACCAGTTACTTATATTGTGGGCCTTTTTTCTCAAGTACGCGGGAGGAGATTACTGATATTTTTTCGCACCCGCTTTTCAATTGCGTTGTCAACCATACGCGGCTGCACTCAACCGTCGTAAAAATGTGTGTAGTAAGCTCCAACCTTTCTACCTTCCAAATGGCCTCCACCTTCCCGTTTTACAGCTTGTTCGTATGCCTATAGAACGATCAAACTTTGCACTTTCCAATTCCTGCTCTCTCCACTACATTTTCAGAGGCAGCCCTGCGCACGCGTCCCATCTGACGTAGGTATTTCCGTGTTTTTAAACGCGGTTGTCGAAATGTCTTCCTATCGCCCTATGATTCGAGTGAATCCTCAGATTGCCACGAATGCAAGTGATACCTAGGTCTCCCACCACTGGTCATTTTTCGCCATGTCTATATTTTCGATTACGGTTCTGGTACGTGTAGTGCTATAAATGAGGTATTTATGGGAGATTGCATTAAAACTAGATAATAATAATACATGGGGTTGTCCGTCCCAAAACCATGATATGATTGATTGATTGATATGTCGGGTTTACCGTTCCGAAACCACCATATGATTATGAGAGACGCCGTAGAGGAGGGATCCGGAAATTTTGACCCCCTGGGGTTCTTTAACGTGCACCCAAATCTGAGCACACGGGCCTACAACATTTCCGCCTCCATCAAAAATGCAGCCACTGCAGACGGGATTCGATCCCGTGACCTGCGGGTCAGCAGCCGAGTACCTTAGCCCCCAGACCACCACGGCGGGGCAAAACCCCGATATGAGTATGAGAGAAACCGCCTCAGAGTTCTCCAGACATTTCGATCATTTAGGGTTCTTCAACGTGCACTGACATCGCACAGTACACGTTGAATTTTGCCTCCCCCATAATGTGACCACCAGGGCCGCTTTCAAACCCGCGACCGTCGGGTCAACAGCCATGCACTATAACCACCGCTCCTCCGCGGCGGGCGGCCTGGAAGAGGTTCGACATCAGGATGATCCCAGCCAGTATCGCCACCTGTGATTTACCGTGTGAAAGTGTTATTCGGTATAGTTGGCTGATAGCTAACACTGGTTCAAAACGAGGGACAAAGAAGACCGACCAGAGCGTTGCAGCCTAATGACTCATTCGAGACATTGGCTTCACCCAACTCTGTATGCGAAGGTTCAGCGTAGGCAGGAACCAATAGTGTCACATGATATATTGTCCGGACAACACATTTTTCAGGCAGCAAGCCATGAATCCAGCATGGAAATGAACAGACACAAGACACTTGAATCAATTAAGTTGGTGAATAAAGCATGTATGGAAAGGTTGAGACAGCTAGAAAGAAAAGTCAAAATGGCATTCACCGGAGATAGTTGGTTCTAAACTAACACTGTTTCGAACAGCGGGACTTTACACGAGGGCAGAAAGAAGACATGCAGGGATGTTACTGACTAACAGCGGTGTCATTGCTTGTCTTTTTTTTGTGCCTCGTTTAATGTTCTGCTGTTCGAACCATTGTTAGAATAATCGCACTCATGTTTCTACGGTGTTACATCTCTTCACCCATAAGTAGGTCCCTTTAAGGTTGCTTTAGGCCATATAATGAGTTATACCACGCCATTTGACACCTCGGCAACACCTGCGTACATGGTTATATTACCTCTATGTGAGCAGCTAATGAGTCACTCTTTTCTGAACGTATGGGTGTTCTTTTCTGGATGTATGGGCTTCTATGGAAGTTTCACTATACCAATCCCACTTACCTTAACATTTATACAATAGCCAGGCCCCCGACAGACTCTTTTCCGGAACCTATTGATTCGGCCACTCTTAAAAATTATTCCAGACCCCCCCTCCACGCCACGCTTCCTTGTCAGTTAGATAAATAAGTCTTTCCTGACCTCGAATCACAATATCTCAGTCCATGGTTCATAACAACCTGTTCCCGTACTCACAAAGACATCCCACGCACAAATTCTTTTTACAGAAAATATTTCGGCCAATCAAGATGTGGGACGTACAAATCGGCTGACCAATCGAAACACGCACTTACGAAAGAGGAGGTTTGTGCATTAGGCATCCGATAACGACAATTTTTAAGGGGGTTGGTAGATGGGGCGATGGAAGGCGTTCACACTCATGTAGGAGTTCTTTCCTCTTTTCTAATAGTCGGTGCCACGGGTAAGAGCCCTGCTTTCCCAAGTCTTTGAAGCCTCCGGCTGACGCAAACGAATCTCCCGCCGACACTAACGTTTCGCTAAAAAGCTACACGATGGCGACACCCACGCGAATACCGATGTTCTTCTCTGTGTTTCGCCACATTGCATGCTAGTCGTGCAGAGAAAGAATCGCGTTTATGTTTCGCCACTTTGTACGCAGGTTGTGCAGAGAAAGGAACGTGCGTCCAAAACCATCCGCTTACTAACAGGATTTTTCGCTCTTAGTGCAGTTTAATCTAACCGCGTGACTTCGCAGCACGCGATGATAGGCTCAGCATATTATGTTCGTTGTTCGTTGAGCTTAAGTTTTGGGACTACTACAATGGTTTTTCAGGAGAGTTGACACTTTACGGGACTCCGCTGTGAAATTAATGGATAAATTTGGCTTCCGAGTGATAGTCTTTTACCATTGTAGACGTCTTGATTGTAACTAATCATTGTTTTTTTTTCTATTGCCAGTTTGTACAGGTGGTTGTTTCTGCAACTGTACACTTGCACTCCACTAGCACAGCCAAGGGAGAAGGGTGTGGTTGAGAGGCTCAAACCCCCGCTCCCCCAATTGTTTCTTCAGTTTTGCATGTAAGCCTATGTATCTATGTACGCACACATGCAAATGCACGGATGAACATACATGGAGTATGGCGGAACCTCACCCTTCCCCCTTTCCTGAAAAAAGTTCTTTGCTACATCCCTTGCACCTGCCCACAGGGCTTAAACTCAGAGGAGCTTCTGGAAAAAGGGGAAGAAGGTACACCGTTCACGAGAATATTATGAAAGTTCCCACTTCTTCCCTTGCCAGCTATCAGAAATAGATGATGCAAACATCATGTATTCTCCGAACAAGAAAGGAAATCTGGGCTAGTTGGTAATAGTTCATTTTTCATTACTCGCAGCGCAAGAAGGACGCAAACGAAGTCGCAGGCAGACGAGGGACGCAGACAGCGCTCGTGTTGTCTTACACTTTGTCTGCGTCCTTCTTGTGCTGTGAGTTATCAAAAATGAATCATGTATTCATATCGCATTTCTCCAAGAGCAGTGCGATGAGTTGAGTAGAGAGACGACTTAGCGAACGCAAGAGCTAAAACTTGAATTAGCTTAAATTTCTCCCCTTCAAAGGGCGAACTGCTACCCAGCTTAACACAAGGAAAAATTTAACTGCATTGGCTATGAAAAAAAAAAATGGCATGAAAGAACACGCTAGTCATGCGCGTGAACACCCTTAACTTGTCCCGCCCTGCATCCTCCTGTTATTTTGGTCATTCATCTATGCATCGCGTGGCCACCGGTCGATTATTTGAATGCTGCCATTTATACATGAATGTAGAAATCAATCCCGCTTTCTGATATTATCAACTGAAAGAATTGCAGCTTTTCTACGCGTCGTCTGGTCCACGTCCCTATTCACTAGGTGCCGCCATACCACCTGAGCTTTCAAAGCACGCCCAGCGACAATTGTCTCTCAGGGCGGGACCATGAGATAAGCAGCCGATAAGCGAGGGTTCCGCCACTCCACGATCGTTTCGTCCGCAGCCCCGTCGAGGATCGCGTCAGCCGTGGGCCAAACGACGCCGTCACCATGGACAAGCTGTTCTTCACCGACTCGTTCAAGAAAATCCTGCATGTGGGAAAAGTGCAGACGGACAACAATGTCTTCCGGCTCCACTACCGCTTCACGGGCCTCTTCCTGCTCGCCTGTAGCGTGCTCGTCAGTGCCACGCAGTTCTTCGGCAACCCAATCTACTGCGTGGCCCACGATGCCATACCAGAGCCTGTGATGAATACGTACTGCTGGGTGGAAGGGACCATCACGCTACCCCGCTCACTGAACGCAACCGTGGGCAAGCAAGTCGCCGCACCCGGTGTTGACCAGCGCCGCATCAAGGATGGCGATGAGGTGATCGAGCATGCGTACTACCAGTGGGTCTGTTTCGTCCTGTGTCTGCAGGCCATCATGTTCTACTTCCCGCGATGGCTCTGGCGAAGTTGGGAGCACGGGCGCATCCAGGCGCTCCTCCTGGAGCTGAACAAACCACTGCTTGAACACGAGAAGAAGGATAAGCAGGTAGACGACGTGGTGGACTACTTCTACGTTCACCGTAGTCAGAACCAGGCGTACGCACTGCGGTTCTTCATCTGCGAGGTCATAAATTTCATCAACGTGATCGGCCAGATGTACTTCATCGACAAGTTCCTCGGTGGAATGTTCTCGACGTACGGCGCCGACGTTATCCGCTTCATGAACGAAGACCCGGAGGTCAGGGTGGACCCCATGACACGCGTCTTTCCCAAGATGACTAAGTGCCGCTTCCACCGGTTCGGAACCTCCGGAGACGTGCAGAAGCACGACTCCATCTGTCTCCTGCCACTGAACATTATTAACGAGAAGATCTACGTCTTCCTCTGGTTCTGGCTCATTATCCTCGCAGTGGTCACGGGCGTCACGCTGCTCTACCGCATAGTGGTGTGCGCGTTTCCCCGTTACCGGTACCTGCTCTTGAAGACCCTCAGTCGCATGGTTGATTCCAAGGACATGGATCAGCTGGTGATGAAGGCTGCGTATGGCGATTGGTTTGTGCTATACCTGCTCAAGGACAACATGCAGGCGTACCACTTCCGCGACATCGTGATCAAGCTCTCTCGGAAACTGGCATCCGAGAAGGATCCGGATTACGTCGATGGACCACTCAACTCCGCGGCATAGGCAGAATTCAATTATTTCGACTTATATGACAAATGACGCAATGAGCGACGTATACGTGAAAACCATCCACGCAACAACCATTCCGCGTATATCATTGTCATGCAAACCTGCAATAACTGCGGCTTAGTTTATTCATGCAGTCATACCCTTCTCGATTTGATTAGATTGGGGTTGGTGTTATAGGACACCCTCAGTCTTTTTCCAGATTTATCAGTAGTGCTCCGAATAACTGCTTCTGAAACTGCTGAATGCTGATACAAGTACACCTCCTTTACTTTCAGGTTCTAAAATTCTCGTCAAAATGAAAAAAAAAAATGTAAATGTTCTTGAAGTGACATTCGGCTGGAAGGCCGCTCAGTGGCACGTTGACGAAGTTTCAAAGCATGAAAACCTTCAACATTGACTTCAAAGTTTTGTTGAATTTCTTTTATCGTTAGACAGGACGTCCAACGAATGAAAAGAACTCTTTGTAAAATCGAGAAGAAATTCAAATCTGGAGGATGTTGTGTATAAACAATGTAGAAAACTAAACGTCCAGCGATAAAAATGTACAAACTTATGGTTGAGGAATGCATACTCTTCTGTGTTATAAATTTTAGGGCACCTACCAATTAAGCTATAGATTTATCATTCGCTTAAATTTCTTTGCCGTCTTATTCATCTTATTTTGTTTATATAAAAATGGGCGTTTCCGTTTTTTAAAGACACTTGGGCCGGGCCGACCGCTTTCATTTATCTCTATATATATATGCTCATAATTGTATTAGCTTTAGCCGGAAGAGCTTTTCAAATAAGAAGCCTAGTCTTGCCGGACTTGACCACAAAGAGTGTTGCATTGGTTTGTGTTCGTGTTGAGGCTCTGATCAGTGATCTCGTTTACTATCCGTCTGTCCTACAAGCACATGATATGCATATCACCAATATTTCATGTGTCTGAATCTACACGATATTAACGCAGCAAGTATGTGTTCGCGTTCGCAACAACTGACCTGCATTCTTTAATCAATTACGCGTTTATGTGCTTCTATTTGACACTGGATCATGTAAATTCAATATGTTACTCGGTTGTTCTCTTGCGGACTATATGGTTTATAAACTCGATATACTGTTGAATGCTCCCAGCACTCAAGCTACGCGTATTTGTGGCATTGGGCAACTGGGCTAGTTGGCTTGTAGTATGTTCAGCCCTCGTCTTGAGGGTGTTCCTGTACAAACAGTCAAATGAGTACAGCGCTTCTATCCTCATTTCACAGTGACGTTTCTCTTGAAGACTGGCAGATGACACAAATAAATTGTTTTTTTTTTTCAGAGCACTGCGATTGTAAATGATAAAAAAATGCCTCTAGTAATTCGTCGTTGGCAGTCTTTGGCAGTTGTTTTGATAAATAAAGCTGTATCGAATTTCTTCTCTAAACCTCTCAAATCCCTACACTTTTCTGGGCAGATGAAACTTATACTTTTTATTCCTACTTTAAACACTTGACAGTTAATTACTGTGAAACATTAACAAAATAAGATTGGTATATTATTATTATTATTATTATTATTATTATTATTATTATTATTATTATTATTATTATTATTATTGTTATTATTAATATTATTAATATTATTAAAAGTTGTAGGTAGTATTATAGTTGTAGTAGTAGTAACAGCAACATTAAATTCGCAACTATATCAAATAAGTATTTACGGAATTATTAATTCCTAACTGGCTCTCCAACTTAATTATCTGCAACCTGAATCTAGTTCAGGTGTGTCGAAAATGCTTTACAGGTTCTACAATAATTTTTCCCGCCCAGTTTTCTATCAAGCACAGCGTCGCCACAGTAACAACGTGTTTTTTTTTTGGGGGGGGGGGGGGAGTTATAATCTGAGTTCTTCTTAAACAAAACGCATTGATGCCGTCTGATTTTTCCCAAGCTGGCGACAGAGTAAACAGCGCGAGTGCGTACTTGCACGAGACTGCTATAATGCACACAGCCGCAGCTTGCACTTCGTTCGTAAGCCTGCTGAAGAATGCACTGCTTCAGAATAAAATGTGACATTGATGTAAGCAGAGTACTATAAGAAAAACGAACAAAGGTAAGTGCTCCTTCAAGGCTGGTTATTTAGTTACCATTTTGCTGGTGCTACGGAGTGTCTCAATAAAATGTCACAATATATACGCTATAGAGGTCAGGGTGGTTATTTCAATAAAGAACTGCAGTAAAGAGAGATAGCGAGAGAGAGAAAATGAATGAATTGGCGTCAGAGCTGCGCGGAAACGCCGATATGTGGTACAAGGTTAGCGGACGCTCGTGCAGCTAACCTTCACATTGTCTCGGATTGGATTGACCTTGAGAGCTTAATTGAGGGGTGGTAAAAAGTGACCTGTATAGATCATTTCAGAAACAGCCGCAAATGGCTTAACGGACACAGAAATCCACGCTCATATTTCCAAATGGGTTATAGTTTTTTATATCTTGCAACAGTAAAAGTCTTTATTATTACTTTTTGTTATACGTACCGGCAGTACTTTTGTACGTGACTCCAGTAGTCATGCATTATTACTGTATGCTCAATGATACCAGGACAAACAGACGTTCCAGATAAGTTCACCAGATTACAAAATGAGATTTGAAGAGAGGCTTAGGAAGATGAAGAAGAGTGGATGGGCAGGGAAAGTGTTTAAGAAGAGCGTAAGCACAAAGTGGAGAAAAAAGAACTATAGGACGCTAACCGGTAAATATACGGCTGGCAGTGTGGGCGATATGGCAACAAGGAGCATTAAGCAATAAGTCAGAGAGGCGGAGAGGATTTATTGGATGACGGTGATGGAAAAAAGCAGCTACCAAAGAGGCAGGAACGAAATAAGGTGGGAGAGGTTTTATAATGACTCAAGGGGAAGCGCTTTTCTGTAGGAAGCGATCTGGTTGCCTTAGAATGCTATAGTCATAAAGCGAGACTCAATAAAATAAGGAAGAATGTACATGCTGTGGGGGAGTTAAGGAAATAATAGAACATGTGATTGAATGCGGTGATGTCCACCTGCATTTTTACTTGGGGGTACAAGCCTACATGAGGCTCTGGGTTTTTGGGGACAAACATGTAAAGCTGAAAACGTCCGCGATAGAAGCAAGCAACAGACAGAGTATTTGTTGCGGGAAAGTAGAGATTATGGACAGAAATAATGGGAAAATGAGATCACTCTCAGATGGAACATAAATTTATTTTTTGTGATAATGAGATCGATGTAATCTAAGTAGATAAGGCATTAGGCCAGCATAAAAAGACTGCTTTCTTTTCATTTTTTCTTGGGAGCCTGGTGGTACACATGTCACCGCTCTTTTACAAAGGGGAAGGTCGAAGCATTCATCCATCCATCCACCATGGCAGCGATGGTTGTTGCACGGATTTGTGTAATACGTATAGGCATCAAACGTCCTAGTGGCATGCATATTATTTCTAAATTTTTAAGTATTCATAACATTCTTAACATAAGTCATTGTCCCCATCTGTGATTTGTTGCGAATGATTTCGTGAGCGATTGGAGCCGCTACGGTGGCTTAGTTGTTACGGCGCTCGGCTGGTGGCCCTAAAGACGCGGGTTTCATCTTGCAACCGTATCATGGGAGAGGTGAACTGCTCCGGGCTCACGCAGTGTATGATTTCTGCGCACGCTAAAGAATTACATGAGGTCCAAATTATTCAAAGCCCTCCACTATATACGGCGTATTTCATAACGTGACTGTAGATTGGGTATCTTGGGCTTCATACACCAAATCCTGGCTTTGACGGAATCAGTGATTCGATATTAACTCCAAAAGGTTGATTGATATGTGGGGCTTAACGTCCCAAAACCACCATTATGAGAGACGCCGTAGTGGAGGGCTCCGGAAATTTCGACCACCTGGGGTTCTTTACCGTGCACCCAAATCTGAGCGCGCGGGCCTACATTTCCGCCTCCATCGGAAATGCAGCCTCCGCAGCCGGGATTCGAACCCGCGACCTGCGGGTCAGCATCCGAGTACCTATACACCACCGTGGTGGGGCGATATTAACTCCAGAAGACCAATTTGCAAAGTCACAATGGCCTTTTAAGGAAATGATCAGCGTTATAAAAAGCATTTGTATACGTACCACATTTGCTGCCAGCCGCGGGACAGGCGAATTTCGAGACGCCACAAATAATCAGGAGTGTTTTCTACTATACTCAATGGTCTACGCATCCTGTCCCATTCGGTATTTCTTTGCCTTTATCTTTTATTTAACGCTTGAATAGCCTTGCCAGTATAATTCTGTAGTGGCGGAGAACACTGTATCTAAAGGGTAACTGACACATCCTTCAACTGCGACCCAAAAACACATAATTCACGCTATGAATTCCGTCCAGCACTAAACATTGTCAAGGCGCCTACGCACGATGAACCTCAGAAAGATATCTCTGACAGCGAAATTGACGAAGCACGATGAGCAGTGCTCTCACGGATGCTGCTGCTTATAATTGCTAAGGCATTCCAAGAAAAACTGAAAACAAACTTGGTTCATAGACAAGATGTCTACATATTAGACCAAAAAGAGTATGTTTCGATAAGCATAATAACAGTTTTGTTACTACTTAGTAATGAGAATTTCAATAAGCTGCACCGCATCAGCCCATCACGCACTGTATATGTGCTTGTACGTAGTGTTTCAAACATTCATTTAATTAAAGCGCAGTTGAGAAGTTCGAGGACGACTGGAAACAATGGTAACTCCACATGGTTGCTCCCACGCAAAAAGAATTACGTCAAGTTTTTTTTTCACTCTAAAAGAAATAAAATCATAATGATGACGAAATCTTAGTGGTGACGAAGCAAGGCAATGACCAGTGGCACCATCTCTTGAAGCTGCGGGACGCCGAGCCTGTTTGACTGTTTCTCGTGGCACCGGCTGTCTGCCTGCAACCAGAAGTCGTTAATAAACCCTCTGTCAAAGGTGATGTAGGTGCTTGGTCGTTAAATCTGAAACTTCGAACCCGGAATCTGCCTACCACGCTGACAATGCCTTATCAGACTACAGAGCAACACACCACCCAGCAAAAGCATGGCGCGATTTCTACTGGTGAATGCCTCGCTCTTTCACCTCTACAAAAAAAAAATGATCACATTAAAACATCAGTTCCTACGTAGAATACCTAAAAGAAACACAGTTTTCTCATTGATTCGACTGCACAAATTAGGCCTATTAGCAGAACTCGCTATTGGACTAGATGGTGCGTTTTGTATCAAAAGCCAGCTCGGCACAAATAACATGTTCTCGCTAGAACACACAAAGACAAGGATGACATGGGTGGATCGAGTGACTTACTATAGGAGGGGCGGTTGCCTGAAGTGACTCAGGAGGGGGGGACCCTTGTTTTCTTCTTTTTAACAGTACGAAAACTTCGCGTTAATGTGTGATCACAGTGGCCCACTGATTTGTTCTAATTAGTCATAGGAGGTAGACGACGAGCACTGAAGTGATGGGGGTGGGGGCTGACACAGGCTTAAGAAAGGGCTATCACCCCCCCCACCCCCCCTCTGGACCCACCGCTGCAGGACGAGGACGCGCCTGGTCTATGTGTTCCTTTGTGCTCCTGCGTGATCGTGCTTTTGGTGCCGAGTTTGCGACCGATACAAAGTATTGGCACGATATAAAGTTAAAGCCTCATCAAACAATCGACTATGTAATTTTCCTTTTGAGTCAGTATAGCAGAACATCGGCATCTGCACAATTCCGCTTGCGGGTCTTAAAAGGAGTTCAACGGGAGGAGCGATTCCGCTTTTGAGCCTAAAGTGTTTGAACAACAGAGAGATGCCACGGCGCCGACGCATGCGCGGTTTTGAGGGCGCGTGCAAAAGGCTTCGTTCCGCTTCACTGAGGGTGCAGTGAGCCCCGCTCGTGCGATGTGTGCGCGCACACAAAGGCCGGAGCTGCGGGCCTTGAAGTGTGCGTACGTGTGAGGTAAGCGTTATAAACGTGTCCCACTTTCTCCACGGTCAACGTGCGACGACGCCCGCTCGCTGCCTGGGAACCGGCCACTCGAAGAATGCAGCTGCAGTGTCGCCGCTCGCTGGAATGCCGCCGCATGCAGCACAGAAAACGCAGAATCGCCGAACCTTCGCCCCGGTAGACGCGAAGAAACCGAGGCCGCTGAAGCTGCATGCGGCAGCTAGTTGGGAGGAGTAGTCTCTCTGCGAGGAGTTTAGGAAGGGTATAAGACGATTGTTCAGATGGGTTCGACTGCCACCTTATTGGGCTGTTAATCTCTCGAGTTTTGAATCTTTAACGACTAAACGAACAGTGTTATGGTAGCCGCGTATCCATAAAAGTGGATGGGTTTATACGTACGATGTTTGATAACGTTCACGGTATGCAAAAACGAGAAAACATCGTCTTAACAGCCTAAGA